TCATCTCACTGGACACTGAAAAAGCCTTTGACAAAATCCAACATCCCTTGATGATAAAGACCTTGGAGAGATCAGGAATAATGAGAACATACCTAAACACCATAAAAGCAATATACAGCAAGCTAACAGTTAACATCAAAATAAATGGAGAGAAACTCAAAGCAATTCCTCTAAAATCAGGAAAGAGACAAGGCTGCCCACTTTCTACATAACTCTTTATTATTGTACTTGAAGTTCTAGCTAGAGCAATAAGATAAGAAAAGGAGATCAAAGTGATACAAATTGGAAAGGAAGAAAAACTCAAACCAATAGCCAACATCAAACTAAATGGAGAGAAACTCAAAGCGTTTCCTCTAAAATCAGGAACAAGACAAGGCTGTCCGCTCTCTCCATATCTCTTCAATATTGTACTTGAAGTTCTAGCTAGAGCAATAAGACCAGAAAAGGGGCTCAAAGGGATACAAATTGGAAAGGAAGAAGTCAAACTTTCACTATTTGCAGATGACATGATAGTCTACATTAGTGACCCGAAAAACTCTACCAGGGAGCTCTTACAGCTGATAAACACCTTCAGCAAGGTAGCAGGATACAAAATTAACTCAAAAAAATCAGTAGCCCTACTATATACAGATGATAAACCCAATGAGAAAGAAATCAGGGAAACATCACCTTCCACAATATCCACAAGCAACATAAAATATCTTGGGTAATCCTAACCAAAAAAGTGAAAGACCTGTATGATGGGGAATGTACTGTGTATGTTTATCTTATTGATTGTTAAATAAAATACTGTTTGGCCAATGAGACAGCAAGTAGATGGGACCTAGGAATCAAAGAGGATTCTGGGAAACGTAGTAGAGAAGTGCTGATCCAGGCTGGCAGTGACATAGCAAGGAGACTCATATTTAAGTGCAGGAGAAACAGGAAGATTCCCTTTTTACCCTTTGCCTCCTCCAGCAGCAGGATGTGAGCCACTGGCAAGGAGGGATGCCAATAAGGCATCTGATAAGTCTTATAAAGCATATAGATTTAAGTTAATTAAGATTGAGCTAACAGATGAGAATCCTAGTCTTTGGCCAAGCAGCATTGTAGCTAATACAAGTTTATACAAGTTTCTGTGTATTTATTTGGGCCTAACTCAGGCAGGCAGCTGGTGTAAAGCACACACGTGGAGGTGGGGCTCAGGCAACATTTGGTGGAAAGATTTATCATAACACCTGTACAATAAGAACTTTGAGACTCTAAAGAAAGAAATTAAAGAAGATACCAGAAAATGGAAAGATCTCCCATGCTCTTGGATAGGGAGAATTAACATAGTAAAAATGGCAATCCTGCCAAAAGCAATCTACAGATTCAATGCAATCCCTGTCAAAGTCCCAACACAGTTTTTCACAGACATTGAAAGAACAATACTCAACTTTATATGGAAAAACAAACAAACAAAAAAT